GCTACTTTGAATACTAAAATAAACTATTGATCACACGACAATATAATAATGTTATGTATTCATTGGCAAAAACAAGTTAATTTTAAACCTTTTATTTTATCCTTAATAAAATAATTTTATAGTCACACAAATATTATGACGTATTTAAGACTATAAATTTCAAAATTTTATTTATTTCATAAACTTTGTATTCACGTCAAACATATTGACATACAATGTAACAAAGATAGTACGAAATTTGTCAATTATATGGGGGAACATTGTTTGAATTTGTAAATCATTTAATTGTGACTAGTTTAGTACTAAACCAAGAATAAATATAACGGTTTCGAGTTTTTAAACCTAGACGCAATTGTGAAATATGAAAATAAAGCCATTCCAACAAGAAGAATAAATAAAGACCACTTGTAGGATATAGTAAAATAGTTTGATTAATTCAGAAGAAAAGAAAAAGGAGAATCAGGTAGACTTCTTCTATCTTGTGGTATAGAGTTCAATAGACACATAAAAAAAATTATTTGAAATGGCTTTTACAATATGTGGCTATGGTTTTAATTACTGTACAAGATATTATGAGGGGTTGCCTTGTAAATCTATCTTTAAATTGTGACCATCATTTATATTTTATGTTGGAGTCTTTGGACCTACTCCTCTTTAATTATTACTATTTGTTTTTCATTTTGTCGTTCACAATAACACCACTTGGTTCAAGTCCAGTCCCTGTATATACGATTCACTTGTTTTAATAATGCCTTCAATTTCTACAACATGTCCATTTAATACTCTTAAATCTCCTGCCTCCCCCTTTTTTTTTTTTTAATGTCCAAAGTTTGATCCAACACCTTAACTTTTAAGTTCTCTTTGTATCTTCTTCAATTGGGCACAGTTTCACCTAATTCAATTGAGCTAATACAAGATAATACTCCCCTCCCCCCCCCAGTCATTTTTCCACGTAGTTGATAAGCAGAGTTAAAAAAAATGACCTACCTTAACCCCAAAAGCTAATTAATAAAGAAAGAGATAAGGATTGTCCTATATCTTATAAGGATACAATAACTCTGAAACCTTAAAAGTTAGCTCATAAACTGCTCAATATCATATATAGATACAATTTCTTCTTGGAAAAAAAATCAAACATAGCATGATTTACAACTACTAATTGAAAAATAGCCATAGGTTCAAAAGTAATCGAAATTTAACCATTTTTCACGTAAAAATAAAATATGAACAAAATCCTCCTTAAAATTCAGGAAAACTTTCGGCATAATATGCTTGTGAATACCTAGTTTTTGCACGCTTTTTTCAAAAAATATAAATATTAATAATAATAATAATAATAATAATAATAATAATAATAATAATAATAATAATAATAATAATAATAATAATAACTTTTGGATTATTTTAGCTATTTTTAGTTGTTTTCCTTTGAATTTATTTGCGCATTTTTATGTGAGTTTAAATAAAAAGTACTAAAATATTTTTACTTTTTATTTGTATATTTTAGTTTGCATCTTTAAAGGATTTTCTTTTTACTAGTATATATTTTTTAGATTAAATAAGCTATAATTTCATTATAAAGACAAGAGATTGGGCTAGTGTATTTTAATTGAAATTGAACCGAAATTGGCCCAAATTTTGAGCCCAATTCGGTCATACCTAGTCCAAAATGACTGGCCAAGACTTGGTCCAAAACGGCGTCGTTTCATTAAGTGAATCAAGATTAAATCTCATCCATTCATCTCTCCCTCATCCAATGGTCCACAATCAATCTCCCAACTAGGTATTTAAGACTTAGAAATGCTGAAATTTTGCCCCCATTTCCCCCATAATTCTTTTCTTCTTCCTCTCTAGCCGTCGCCGCCGGTAATCGCCCACCGGCGACGGACCACCTCCAAATACCCCCAAATTCGCACCATATATTCTTCACAACCTCCTCTTTCCATATCTCTAAACCAAATCTTTCAATTCCT